CTGTTAACACATCATCCATTCTCAGCCCTTGGTTCAAGGAGTAATTTCAACTTTCAAGTCTTATTATTTAAGAAATAATTTTTAAAAAGTTTTAGTGGTCATAGACAGTGATTCCTTTGAAGGATCTGAGAAAAATAAATTGAAACCTTCCTGGAAAGGATTTCCCCTTATAGATGCCATTAAGAACATTTGTAATTCATAGGAGGCAGTCAAAATAGCAACATTAACAGGAGTTTGGAAGACGTGTGTTCCAACTCTCATGGATGACTTTGAGGGCTTCAGACTTCAGTGCACGAAGTAAATGCAGAAGAGGCAGAAACATAAAATGACAAGTGGAGCCTGAAGAGAACATTGAATCGTTGCAATTTTATGATAAAACTTCAGCAGATGAGGAGTTGCTTCTGACAGATATGCAAAGAAAGTGGTTTCTTGAGATGGAATCTACTGGTGCAGATGCTATGAACATCATTGAAATGACAACAAAGTATTTAGGATATCACATAAACTTAGTTGATAAAGCAGGAGCAGGGATTAAGAGGATTGACTCCAATTTTGAAAGAAGTTCTGCTGTGGATAAAATGTTGTCAAATATTGCATGCTACAGAGAAATCTTTTTTGAAAGGAAGAGTCAATTGATGCAACAAACTTCATTGTTTTTGTCCTTTAAGAAATTGCCACTGTCATCCTAATCTTCAGTAACCACCACCCAGATCAATCAGCAGCCATCCACACTGAAGGACAACCCTCCACCAGCAAAAATGATTATGACAACTGAAGATTCTGATGATCGTTAACATTTTTTATCAATAAAGTATTTTTAATTAAGGTATGTACATTGTTTTTTAAACATAATACTATTGCTCACTTAATAGACAACAGTATAGTGTAGACATAACTTATATGCACTGAAACACCAAAAAAATTGTGCGACTTACTTTATTGTGATATTTGCTTTATTGTGATATTTGCTTTATTGTGGTAGTCTGGAACCGAACCTGCAATATCTCTGCGGTGTGCCTGTGTTAGAGTAAGGAACTGGTGCTCAGGCATGGGCAAACCTGCCCATGGAGCCCCACTACCCCCACCCCACAGACCTCTGACTTTGCCAGGCTGCTCACCGTCCACAGGCCCCACCGTCCACAGGCCCCATGACTGGTTGAGGTCCAGATGACCTTTCATTTGCAAGCACTTGAGAACACGCAGGAGAATTCAGCAGTACAGGGCAGGCTGTGGCTAAACCACGCCTCCCTTCACCCCATCCCAGATCCCAGACTCCGGAATCTCTAGAGACTGAACCTGCAAATAAATATGTAACAAGTCTGAGGAATCTGCCTCCTTCAAAGCATTAGTGTCATTTCTGCAGGTGTGTGGATTCTTCACTTGGTGGATTTGTGTCCTCCTCTGATTCCTCACTTTGTTTTACCTAAGGGCTTTTCTAGTATCTCTGGCAGCGAGATCTGGAAATGAGCTGGCATCCGGTCTAATCGTTTGGTGGAGTAAGTCTGGTTCCCCACCTGTCAGCTGGAGCTCCCTCGCTTCCTTAACATCTAGATCCATGTGGCTGGAAACACTAATCCTGCCTTATGGTTCAGGGTCTCCCCTGAGACTTCACTGGGTTAGGCCGGAGCTTAGAGCCCCAACATGGCCTCAGCCTCCAGGGCCCTCCCTCACGCATCACGTGGCGGTGGGGAGCAGGGCGCAGGGGAAGAGAGGGCGGAGACTCTTCCCTGGGCAGTTCAAACCTGCCACACAGAGCATTAGACAGGACAGGAAAGACATCCTGATATGGTTCTGAGCACACTGCACGACCAACACCTAGGGCCATGCTCTCATTCTTTTTTTCTCTCCCACTTAGAAAAATGGCAAAGTAGCGCCACACTCTGCTTCCTAAAGGCCTTCCCACTTCACCCCGTCCCCAAAACCCACCACACATTTCTCACGGGCTCTGCCACCCGTGGAGCATCCTAGCATCTCATCATCTTTCTGGCTACTCTGTCTTCCTCCTTCTTTTTCCCTATTTTTTGTTTCCTTTCTATTTTTTTTCTTTTTTTTTCTTTTTTTTTTTTTTTTTTTTTTTTTTTTTTTTTTTTTTTTGAGACGGAGTCTCGCTGTGCTCCCAGGCTGGAGTGCAGTGGCGTGATCTCAGCTCACTGCAAGCTCCGCCTCCCGGGTTCACGCCATTCTCCCGCCTCAGCCTCCCAAGTAGCTGAGACTACAGGCGCCCGCCACCACGCCCGGCTAGTTTTTTGTATTTTTAGTAGAGACGGGGTTTCACCATGTTAGCCAGGACAGTCTCGATCTCCTGACCTCGTGATCCACCCGCCTCGGCCTCCCAAAGTGCTGGGATTACAGGCTTGAGCCACCGCGCCCGGCCAATTTTTTTTCTTAATCTCCCATCTCAGGAGCAAAAGTGAGAGGGTTTCCATCTTCAGCAGCAAGCTAGCTTATTCTCTGGGGGTCCAGCTGGTGCATTTGCCCTCCAAGTCTCTCTCCAGTCCAGTGACTTATCCAGAAAGTGTCTCAAAGTCAGTTGCCATTCCATGTGGAATGTTGGTGCCAGCTGTTAGGACAGGAAATGTTTCACCTCATTACTAACGTGTGTATACACACACACACACACACACATATTACATATAGCTCTAGCTATAAAATCACATATCTCAATGTCTTCATATATAGACAAATTGTGCCTAAGCAGTCCTTATGAGCAATGTTTTAAATCATGCGCTAATTCTCATATCTTCATAAAACTAACATTACTGGCCCTCCCTTCTCTGGTTCCCCTTCTCACTCCTTTCCTCCCACACCGTTACCTTTCCGCCATTACAACTCCCATCCCAGGTGCGCTACAAAGCACACTAGGTGTGAATAGTTGTCATCCTGAGAACTGAGCAGGGCAGCTATGCTTGACCGTGTGTGTTCCCAGGGGAACCCCAGTGCCATCAAGGTTGTCTCATAAGGACTGTGAGGCCTGGCCCCTCGCTGATCTGTGACTTGTGGTTTCTTCTAGATGAGTCAGCCAAGGTGGGGACGTGAAATGAATCAATGTGTGTCAATGATGCTCTGAAGAAAGATGCCAGCACTCATGGCTTCACACACAACAGCCCCAGAACTCCTGGCTTTAGATGTACATCCAGGCCAGGCTCTCCCAACCCCAGCACAGTTCAGGTAATATGGACTGCCCAGTACACTGAAGGATGCTTAGCAGCATCCCAGGCCTCTACCCACTGGATGCCAGGAGTACCCCCAAGCCCTCAGCTGGGACAACCAAAAATGTCTCCTGACATTGCCAAATGTCTTCCTGGAAAGTAAAATCACCCCTCAGCTGAGAATCAGTGCTCTATAGCTGTATAGATACATATTGTGTATACAGCAATGTATACATACATACAAACAATTAAATATTTATATGTCCTTATTTTAAGTTGGCATCTGGTATAAACTTTTCATTCAATCAGCATATGCACAAAACAGAAATGTGACATATTTTCTTCCTTTTCTTTTAAAAATTAATGTCATCTGTGATAATAGTGACATTTGTGATGACTAAATAAACAGAACCATTGTATATCTATCTTTCTGTGAAGCTGGCATTGAAGCAGCAGTGAGAAGGGAGTTTTGGAGTGTCAGTTGCCTTCCCCTGGACCCACCATGGCTCCTGCCTCTTGGAGCTTTGAGAATGCAGATGGACAGTATAAACCAAAAATACAATTCTAAGCCCCCCAGCCACCTGAATGGACCCCTCCTCTTGGCCCAGGGTGTTCCAAAGTTAACCTGAAAAACGAATTCAGGACATGATGGGAACAGAGAGCTGGACATGCCTCATTATACCCTCCTCCCTTTTGGAATTACTGATAGAAGACTCTTTAAATCTGATAAGAAACATTTACAGTCCTTATGAGCAATGTTTTAAATCATGCGCTAAT